CTTAAATGTAAAAGATTACAATTCCCGTTAGTTGAAGCTGGTGCTCTAACGGTTCATAAGTCGCAGGGTGGTACGTTTCAACAAATTGTATTCAACTACAACAAGAGTCTAGATCATCAGTTGGTGTACGTTACCCTGTCTCGCGTTACATCGTTGGACGGTTTGTACATCACAAACAGAAACAACGACTTCGTGTTTTATCATGCCAAGGGAACAAACAATCCAAAGGTAGAGGACTGAGCTGAGGCGGTTAGAAACACATATATTGCCCACGTTGACTGCTTCGGTGAGAGCATTCATAAGGATTGCTGGTATTCGTGATGTAAAAATGACTACTCTAAACGTACAGAGTTTAAAAACTCATGTGCAAGACATTGCAACGGATACAGTGATAACTGATACTGATATCCCCGCGCTCACCGAAACTTGGATGCACAACGACGAAACTGTAAATTTGGAAGGTTATAAATGCATCACGTGACGAACAAATAGCAGGCGGGGAAACATGGAGCAACTACCATGGCTAACCCCCCAGCTACCTAAGGAAGATGGAGCAGATTACAGAATAGCTGCAGCTGAAAAGAGAGGTGATATCTGTGCGGCAGAGTGTATGGTCAATGGTGAAAAAGTTTCAATTGTAACCCTGTTTATTTGTAACCACACACCTATTGATGATTGTAAGAGATTTATTTTGAGTCATTTGCGAAATTATACAAAGACGTTTTCAGTTATGGCCACTGAAGATCCTAATACAATGCCGATAATATTGACAGGAGATTTTAACATTGATTTAAAGGAGTAAAATCCTAAGTAACAACAATGCTAAAAAAAAAGATGACGTTTCCTAGGTAACAACAATGCTAAGTAAACAGATGACGTTTCCTAGGTAACAATAATGCCGAGTAAACAGAAGACGTTTCCTAGGTAACAACAATGCTGAGTAAACAGATGAAGTTTCCTAGGTAACAAAAATACTGAGTAAACAGATGAAGTTTCCTAGGTAACATAACAATGAAGTTACACTTTTTAGTTTCCCTTTTTCGTAACACTTTTTTGCCGAATGACCCTTCCTTATAGACGTATTTACGTCAAAAATTGAAACGAAAAAGTGTAACCTGGTTACCTAGGAAACGTCATGTTTACTCGGCATTGTTGTTACTGAGGAAACGTCAATTGTTTACTCAGCATTGTTGTTACCTAGGAAACGTTACAATACATTACATTACTCGGCATTGTTGTTACCTATAAAACATTTTATTACATTACCTTACCTTACATTACATTACATTTCATTACATTCAGCTACCACAGACCCATCTTAAGCGTAACTAATTCAGTTTAAATAAGCAATGTCTTAATCAAAATTTACTCAATTGTAAAGCATGTATTAAGGAAACTTTAGAATAAAGCCAATATATAAACTTCCTTTCCGTCTAATTCTCCGGAACTGTGGTTCCAGTGTCATTTTTTCTTCCCCACAAGTACTACATGGACTGACGTATCTTTGGTGAGAAGTCTGTGACTAACCACCTGAGTTGTTGCGCAGTCCAGTAATGTTTTTTTACTTGTGAATGCGTTTCATAGAATTTTGTGCACATTATGGAAACCATCCTTTATTCACAGTTCTTCAAGGGTGCCAACATGTTGGCAACCTTATCGAACTGGTTTCATTCTGTGCTGAAATGGGGAATATTTGTTATAGAGCTAAATATTCGTGCTGTGCACCTTCATGTTGTGTTGTGCTCTAGATGGGAGTGGAGAACATGTAATCTCTGTCAAAAAGGTGAATAACGTCTTGTCTCTATTTTGTTCCAGAGGCGATACCTAAACATTTTATCCGCAAGCTGAGTGAAAGCTCGTGTACAGTTGCGGGAGACAAGCAAATAATCCAGCTTTGTGAGAAAGTTGCAAAACGTAAGATGACAATAAAGACTATTATTTTTATCATCATCAAAACAATGTGCCTCCAGAATACTCTTCATCTAGATACTACTTGAAACTTCAGTTTCCTTTTGATCAAAAGTTCTGAAACTTTGCTTATATGTCTGCGCTTGTAGCATTGCTATGATGCACCATTTTCAAGTCGGTATTCTGACTGAATGGTTATCAATTTTTTGATTCATGAACTTCTAAAATACCAGAGGATTTTCTGTGGGGCAGTTTTCCTTTTTTTTACATTATAAAATATGAAGTTGTCCTTTGTGCTCATTAACCTCAGTTTTATGAGTGACCCATATGGGAGATAGGAGTTGAAGGCAATTGGATTTTGCTGGCCCAAGACAGAGATCGGTGGAGGTCTTTGGTTAATTCGGTGATTAACCTTCGGGTTCCCTAAGCCATTCAGTTAGTCAGTAACAGTTTGGTTCTTCTAGGTCAGCAGCACTGCCATTGTTTGAAAAGTGTAGGAATACATGAAAGAGAAATGCTAAATGAATTAGAATCTTTGTGGACGTGGGTTGGCACATTCTGTTTTCTGCCATCTGTGTCACCAGTGAAGTGATGGACTGTGTGTGGGTTCACCTTACTTGGACTTTCCGTCGAATGCAAATGGGGGTAATCATCCTTATCAAATTTTTTGTGTGGAATATTTGTTATCTTCACCGTGTTTTTCTGGTCTCTGAGACTGCCTAGTTTAGAAACCCCTTGGGGTGGTTAGCAGATGTGTTCATCGGGTCAGCATCCTTCAGGTCTGTTTTATTAGTTGTTATATAAGCGAATCGTTCTTGTCTCAACACATGAAGAATGAAGTGACTGACTGCATAGCTCTATGAATAACTTATAATATTTTCCTGTCAACTCACCTCAGAGTTCATACAATCCAAGCTCATTCAATTTCTTATGTGAACTCGGTCAGAGGGAGTGAAATGAAATTGACCACCTATGATAGAAAGAAAGCCTTCGATTCAAATGAAATTCGACGCTCTGGCCTCTGACACCAGCTGGAGCAAACTCAGTCACAAGTCAGATAATCTTTAATATTTGCCTACTTATTCATGTGTTGTGTGTCTACTAAAGGGTTCACTCCAAATATGAACCTGTATGCCATAGGCCATTTTTACTGACTTATTTCAAACTAATCATTGATAAACTGTTCTGTAAATAGACCACAGCCAAAGAGAAAGATTGTATTTATTTCAGTTTGAGGCTTGGAAGAACAAATATTCCTGTAGGAGTTCTAAGTACTGTCGATTCAAAGGTTTTCTACCACCGTAAATACGCTGTATGAGGTTAAATTTGAAGAATAATTAATTAAAATATAGAAGAATCAGATAACCGAGAATAAATGTAAAGTAGTCAACAAATGTAAAAATTCAACATAGGTTTTTAATTAAAGACTTATTATTATGAAACTTCTTGTGCAGGTAAATGGGTTCATTTACAGTGATAGAATTTTTCTTTTGATTTTTTAGCTAAAAAATGCATTAAATACACTACTTTGTAGCATGCAGCAATTTGAGGTGGTTTAAATTCCAGTTAAATCCATACAAGCGTGTAGTCCACATAATTTAAATCCTGTTCTTAAATGTTAAACTGTACACCATTAAGATGTATGGGTGCGAGGCAGTATAGCTCCACGTATTCTTGACTTCAACACTAAATGGAAGTGAATGGTTATCGTACCCTTTGAATAGGCCGAGTGGCCCTCTAAGCGAGGCTGAATGCAACAGCAGCAAGAAATATCCCATGCCAGGAACTAAACCCAGGTTTTGCAGTCTGTGTACTGACTGATATGACCTATTCACCTCCTATCTTGTAGAATGTAAAAGTGATTATTGCTAGTAGGTTCACACACGTTTGTTCTCAACACAAAAATAGATTCCATTTTTGTGGTGTTAATTAAAAAAGAAGTCATAATTACTACCTGAAGTGAAATCTTACATACCAACCTTATTTCTACTCTGTTTACTTTACAACAGACATGTTCCAGTCCTCGTGGGACCATCATCAGTGTTAGCTTCATATACTGTGTTCAGTCCATGGTATAAAATGGTCAGAATGAAGTGTATAATCTAACACTGATGATGGTCCCTTCAGCACTAAAAAGTTTACAGATGTATATTCTATTTTTTCTGTTGTGGAGAAATATTTGTGTGAAATAATACAAACTAGAATTTGCACACTAACATGCATTACACCTCAGACACTGTTTTAAGTGACTTGCTCACACTGTGTGTGTGCCTTTTTCAGAGGACATCCAAATTCATTTCTATGAGGAACGAGATGGGAACATCTTGTGGAAGAAGATTTCCGTCTTCTGGGGCGATTACCCTGATGACGCAGGCAGTATGACCTATGAAACGTTGGTTAACATCGACCAAACTACACAGCACAACAACCCAGAAGACAAATCTTCATACTCACCGCTGTGAAAACCTAAAATCTTATATCTTGTGGAAGGATTTCGGCAACTTCCAGCGAAAAGATGTTCACAAACAGATATCACGCTTGTTATTCTGATTTGACAGACCCTGAGGTATAACGTCTTCATAACGTCTAGATAATAGATCTGCAAGTTCAATTGGATCCTTCATTGCAAGTTGTAAGCTAGAATAAGTCTGATTGTCATCATCATACAAACCTTCAACATCCGTGTCAATGACCAATGTAGAATGACTACTGTCCAACTCAGGGGAGAGACTGTCTTGAGCAGTAGTCTCTGTAACCCATTGGTTTAACATAGGAGCATCAGGGGTATGAATATATCTCATTCAACTCAGCCAATTCAGACAGAAATTCATTTAATGATTAAGAAGTCTCTCCCTGAAAAATTACATCATCATCACTGGAGGCCAATATGTCATTCTTTCTCTCACCTTCATTCTGAATGTTTGCATTAGTATCCATTTCTCCTGAAGCTGCTTTATTCCTTTTACTTATGGTTGTATAATTATAGCTGCTTGATCTTGTATCTTTCATATCCGTTATAGCTGTCATCATTACATTATTATTAGTAGTAGTATTGCCTTTAATATTGCATATTTCATTCTCTATTGTGGCTGGCTTGCTTCCCAAACCCTGTGCCACACCAGAAGTTGAGGCTCCATCTATACTAGGTGGAGGAACAACTATCTTATGTTCAACTGGCTTTGTTAACTCGACTACATCAGAAGCTTCTGAAATTGGCTGCTCTGGCCTGATCATGCGAACCGAAGAGGATGATGTTATATCTGCAACATTTCTTGGGCGCCCACCAGTGAGCAGGGCCGTGTTGGAAGCCAAGATACTCGGAAACATCGAGTAGTTGCCCTTTATTCCAAGAGCCGAAAATGCAGGCCTACCTGAATCAAGGGGGAGATAATCAAAGGGCAGAGGTTCACTTGTTGCTTTGTCTGACGGGTGAAACAGCCGAATGTTCACCGCAACTGGAGCCTCCACTTCTAATGACTTGTAGCGTGGTGTCCGAAATGTAATAGCAACTTGTTTGTGTACATCTTTCGGCTGGAAGTTGCCAAAATCCTTCCACAAGATGTAAGATTTGAGGTTTTCACAGCGGTGAGTATGAAGATTTCCGTCTTCTGGGTTGTTGCGCTGTGTAGTCTGGTCGATGTTAACCAATGTTTCAGAGGTCATACTGCCTCCGTCATCAGGGTCATCTTGTGGGAGGATTTTGGCAACTTCCAGCCGAAAGATGTTCACAAACAGGTCGCTATTTCATTTCGGACACCACGCTACAAGTCATTAGAAGTGGAGGCTCCAGTTATGGTGAACATCCGGCTGTTTCACCCGTCAGACAAAGCAACAAGTGAACCTCTGCCCTTTGATTATCTCCCCCTTGATTCAGGTAGGCCTGCATTTTCGGCTCTTGGAATAAAGGGCAACTACTCGATGTTTCCGAGTATCTTGGCTTCCAACACGGCCCTGCTCACTGGTGGGCGCCCAAGAAATGTTGCAGATATAACATCATCCTCTTAGGTTCGCATGATCAGGCCAGAGCAGCCAATTTCAGAAGCTTCTGATGTAGTCGAGTTAACAAAGCCAGTTGAACATAAGATAGTTGTTCCTCCACCTAGTATAGATGGAGCCTCAACTTCTGGTGTGGCACAGGGTTTGGGAAGCAAGCCAGCCACAATAGAGAATGAAATATGCAATATTAAAGGCAATACTACTACTAATAATAATGTAATGATGACAGCTATAACGGATATGAAAGATACAAGATCAAGCAGCTATAATTATACAACCATAAGTAAAAGGAATAAAGCAGCTTCAGGAGAAATGGATACTAATGCAAACATTCAGAATGAAGGTGAGAGAAAGAATGACATATTGACCTCCAGAGCTGATGCAGGCTGAGCACTCTGCTTTGTACACGGATGTGGCTTCTCATGCCACCTGTTGAGAATTGAGTATCTTCCCTTCCCGAGCTATTTGGACTCATGGTTGTGTGTGTGGTCTTTGACTGCTTTGGATTGTATATGGCGTCAGGGCTTCAGAGACAGTTGTTTGTGTGTGTTGTGTGTGCAACATTTGGTGCCGAAACCCGGGAAGAAAGACTGGAAATCGCTGCCACGGTAGAAGAAGACGAGAGGTGAAGAATAAGGAAACATCATGTTGGAAGCTTCACGTCGCAGCGGTAACTTCAGCTGTTCAAAAGAAAATCTTCCTCACGCCACACTAGGGAAGCCACTTGGAGACGCCATCGCACAGGTACGTTTTTTTAGACATATTATATATTCATTTGCACAATGTTAAACGTTAAAACTACTCTAAATTCCTTATTTACGTTATTAAGTTTACTGGGTTTGAGCTTTATCAATAATAATAAATTAAGCGCCATCTACGGCATAGTCTCAACTATCTGCGGCAAGTACTGGAGGCTCGGTCGGTAATACAGGTCACTAACAACACGTATGGTATTTACACGTGCCGTGTGATACGAGGAGGACCGACGATACTTGCACTACCTCGAATTTGAAATTTAAAGGCATCATCCTAAAGAATGTCCAGTGCATCAGATCCAGCTGCGACCCTACATAACTTCAAGAGAAGACGTACCAGAGAGAGAGCCAACGGTACGCGATTTTCCACTGTCATTAATGCACTTACTGAGGACAGTTCCATAGACGACTTCGAACACTTCCGGGGTCGCCTCCAAGACACCTTGGATAAACTCACTGTCTTGGACGACGCCATTCACGACCTTCTGTCCGACGGTGAATATGAAGCTGATGTGGAGAATTGTGAAGAATATGTTGACAAGAGAAAACGTGCCAGCTACACTGAGAATAGATAGCAAGCTTGCAGCCTCAACATCCCTTTTAAGCGTCTCTCAGCCGCCACAAATCCACACATATCCAGCAGTCACTCACTCTGTGAAACTCCCTCCTATTATGGTCGAGCCGTTCGCCGGGGACATCGAGACGTGGTCCCGCTTTTGGGAACAATTCGAATCATCCATTGATAAAGATCCGTCCCTCTCTACCATAAACAAACACGTGTTCTTACGAGGGTACCTGGAAGGCGAACCGAAGATGCTAGTGGACGGGATCGCCATAACTGCCAGTACATATGAGGAGACAAAGAGAATCCTTCACACTCGCTACGGTGACCGCAACCGCATTATACAAGCACATCTGGACTATCCAGAGGAGATGTGAGGATTAGTGATGAGCGATAAACAGTGACTTGTGATTTTGTCACTGTGATCAGAAAATAACGATCACTGCAGTGGTTAAGGTGCTCACTAAACAGTGATCACAGTTATTCTTAATTTCTTACGCATCATAGCGAGAACACGGTACACTATTTTGACAGCTCAGAGCAGTTTAGATCAGATCAAGTGATTCTCAGTAATTTCTTATGCATCCTAGCGCATCCTAGTGAGAAAACGGGACACTACAGTATTTTGACAGCTCAGTTCTACTGTCTGTAAATATTAAATAAACGATTTCTATACATTTTGTTTCATTTAAAACTTGATTCTGTTTTATAATGTATATTAAATAAATTATATTGTCCATATTATCATACATGGAGCATAATGATAATGCATTTGACTATACAAGTTGCTGTAGGCCTACAGGTACTCTGAGCAGTAAGAAAGCAAAAATGCTTGTGTGTTTGAATTGTAACTTGGGAAATGATAGTTAATTCTGTTATTTTCTTGCATGCACAGTCATTAACACACACACATATGTGTATGTATATATATATATATATATATGGGGCGGAAATTAAAATGTTGGTTTCTGGTGTATGTATTTATGCTAATGTATTTAACTTGTGTTCAGTTTCTAAAATGACTGATTGCTTGCAACATACAATATTGTATAGGAAATGTTATATTTTGAACAGAATATTAGTTTAAATAAAGTTAGGCGTACACCTAACCTAACTGTAAACTTTCATTTTAGATTATTATTATTAAGTGTTCTGTCTTACGACAGGTCCATTGCTCTGCCCAAAAAGAGCTCTCCAGTTGTCCCTATTCTCGGCTTCTCGCTTTAATTCCTGGAACGTCATCTTCTTTCCTTGTTTAAGGTCGTCGGTTAGCTGTATCAATCTTCTTCCTAGTCCTCTCTTTCCTTCAACCTGGCCTTCGGTGATATCACTCATTAATCCATTCCTTCTCATAATATGTCCCAGCCAGTTAGCTTTCCTTCGTGTAATCGCCTGCAGAATGCTTCTTTGCTCGTTGACTCTCCTCAATACTTCTTCGTTGGTCAATTACTTAAATTAAATTAACTCCGTGGCGTAACAGCTCCAGGGAGCCAAAACCAACTAGCTTGACTGCTGGCCTCACGTTCACATGCCTAAGCAGAGGTGAACGATCATCCAACCAGATATAGGGTGACGTGTGGTCAGCACGACGAACCCCCAGCCATTGCTAGTTTTACTGACCGGATTACACTACTCACCCTAAAATGGAATTCAAAACATAATTTGAACAAAGATTTCATGTACCATAATTATATAATATGGTATAAAACACAAGTTAATATTATATTTAGCTTTATTTATGTGTTGACACTTTCATTTTATTGCTTCCTTTGAGATTATCTCACCGCTTAATGTTATTTGTTACTCAACTCCAATACATTTAAATTGAATCATGTAATTAGGTATAGCTGCAGACGTTTTGCCAAAGCTGACACACAAAACGCTCTTTTATTCTTCAGATCTAATTTTACAAATCAAAATAAAGCCTACAACAATACATGTCATACTTTATTAAAGTAGGAATTTGATTTTCAATCTAAGCATCTAGGCTCCAATTGCTGTTCGTATATCATAATAAAAAAATCTGTATATTTGTAGAAATACGGGACTACTTGGCGTCCCGTTTTATCCTTTTTAGGAAAACGGGACACCTACCTCAAAACGGGACAATCCTGTTAAAAACGAGGCGTCTGGTCACCCTGGTCTGTACTAAAGTTATAAGATCTGTAAGCCTATAATTTCTTTCATGTAAATGTTGTTATGGTGGGCCTATGTCTAAATTTTCTTCCGAGTTCTGTCATGTAGCATTCTAGAAGTTTATGGGCGTTTCGGAGGTGTTTCATTCCTCTATTATCAAGGCGACGAGGGCCTCATGGCACTGATTATGGAGGTAGGAAACTAATCTGAATCATCGGAAAACTTCTACAAAACTACTACACGGAGCAACCACCCAGAAGACAACTATCTTCATACTCACCACAGTGAGAACCTGAAACACTTTCATTCTGTTTTATTATGTAACTCGCCATATTGTGCTAATTTATTTTTGTTATAGTTATCATTACTTGCTGCCCATTATTATTACGTGTCAAGTGTGGTTTAATATTGGTACAGCGATAAATGTTATGCACAGTATCAGCTGCTTTAATATTATTTAGATTAACTTTTCCGTATATTATGAACAAGGCATAAATATTAATTGTACGCACTATGTTCTGTTATTTACGAAGATATGTTCCTAACAGTGTCTAAGTTTTAGGTACATACAACTGCAGAGTAGATTGATGTTCACATATATAAAATTATTCTCTTGCATTATCAACATATACTATCGAACAAAATAACTTTAAACTTAGGTATTATTTTCTTGTGTTAGCTACATGAGTATTTCAGCGAGTTCTCATAGGTCTTGTCCTGGATGGGACTTTTGTGTATTTATTCTTAAACGCAAAGACTAGAACAATTTATATCATGAAAATTTAGATAGTGACGAAGAGTCTATATATTTCTATATGTCCAGTTTTATGCTTCCCACAGTATGTCGTTTAAACAAACAACATAGAATAACTTGCGGTCTATTCTGTTTTAAGAAGTTCTAAGTTCTGCTCTTTCCGGTTATAACATTAAAAATGTAGAGGACATGATGACTGATTTTATGTAGTTTATACTGTTCTGAATTTACTGTCAGTCTTCCAGGCGATGATTATGTGGCCTATTGTCCATATTTAACAACTCTATATTCAGACTCACACAAAAGAGACAAAGGTGGTCCAGTGCCATACAATGGAAAAACTGAGATTTGAAGCATGAGGGTTATTTTTTAAATGGTATGTAGGCCTACTCATTGTAGGCTGTACGTTGTAGCGTACAACATTCTCCGTCTCAAGTTTTCACTCCTTACCCAACTTAGGTCTTCACTTCCATTTTGTCCTTATCAAAGGGACGAGTTCTTGAAGCCTTTGAATCTTCTGACAGAATTATGCAATTTCTCCCTAAAGAAAACTAGTGTCTTCAATTCTCCCCTAGTTTTCCCTATGTTACTGCTCTTCTACTGGCCTTCCTGTGTCTCCGTCTTCCTGTGGCAAAACGGTAAACATTACAATAGGAAGTTAACTACACTGTGATTGAGAGTGAGCAATCACAGTCAAACCTGTGTTCACAGAAGAGCAGTTTAACTCATCACTAGTGAGGATGCTGAGTCACACGCGTAAACTTCAGTTAGCTGACCCAAAGAATGATTCAGAAGACCTTCCCATCGAGATTCTTATCGGCGGAGATAACTATTGGAAAATTGTCAAGGACGCTTCGCCAATCCGTCTCACGTCATCCGTCGTGCTAATTCCCTCTAAATTGGGTTGGGTACTTAGCGGAAACAGATCAGGCATCACAGTAAACTTTCTAACGGTCAACTACGTGAAACTAAACACATCATCGCCCTCTGAAGATATCTTACGACGCTTCTGGGACTTGGAAACCATAGGCATCATGGAAAACCAAGAGATATAACTCCATGCATTATTTACTTCTGAGCCATGCCTCATGGCTCGAAGTGGCTTATCTCCCCTCTCAAAGTTCTTTGGAGTCGGCGGCTTCGAGAC